CAATTTATTTGAAAATGTTTATGTATATAGAGCAAAGTAAGGGCTTTAAATCAAGGTTAAGATCACATAAATCCAATAATTGGATGCGAAGTTATTATATCTCAAATATTAGGCCAAAATTATTCTATAACATCATCCAGAATTAGCAAAATTCATCTGATTATAGAATGTGAACCGAGTTCACAATGTCATGTATGTGACGCAGAATATTTTTCTTATAATGATAATCAGTCATAAAAGTCTGATTTGCCGTAATGATCTTGGAACGCAAATATCTCGACATCTACCTGTCCTATTTTGATGATGATTGAACGTCTGAATTTAGCTGGTTCTGATCTTTCCAACAAGCCTAAATTTGTATAAATCCAATTAGTGGATGTCGAGATATTATCTTTCAAAGTTCGGGAAAAAAATATATATACTCTAGCCAATTAGATCGCCCGAATATAACCGCGTGATCATGTGACACCACGCGGATTTCCATTGGATGTCATCTGACATTGAGCCCTAAGGGAGCTGTATCATGCAAACAAATTATATACACATTGCTTATAGATACTATTAGCCACCTTTGATTCTTAATCTGAATCGGACTCAGATGAATTTGTTAGTTCTTTGTCAAACTCTAGACCAGTTTGCTCTTTTATATAATTTCCTATCCAGTCTACAGTTCGTTCTAACTTTTTTATCTGGGAATATTGTTCATCCAATTTTTTCTCTAATGCTTTGATTCCTCCATTAAGTACACTAAATACTATAGCATTTTGGGAATCGAATCCTGACAACTTTGCTAGCTTTTCCATACCTTTTACAAATTCGCTAGGTGCACTAATAGATGATTGCTTTTGATTACTTCTCATTTTAGAGGATATACTTGTAACCGAATATTATAATATACTAGAAAAAAAAATATTATATATAATCTGAGTGAATCCTTTTGGGATCACGTCTTATCACTCAACTATGCTAGGTTCACATAATTTTGGATGACCAAAAGACGCTGAAATTTTGCTAAGACATTTCACTAGTCTAGCTTATTAGGAAGAGCTAGCTATGTGAGACGTACATTCATTTTGATACTTTTCTGGGAGCTTTGCCCTCATAGCTCTTTTTTCAGCTACTTTATGAGGAATACCATCTTTGACCATATTCTTATATACCATAATAGACTAATGACCATAAGGCAAGCCAATTATCCTATCTGATAATATCCAATGTTTAGTATCTATGTGAAAGAGATCCTTCTTCTTAGACTCGACCAGAGATATTATATGATCTTTTGAACGGAAACCTATATTCTTAGCATAGAATACTTCCTTACCAAAAAGATAGTCCTGATATACTAATGTCATAGGATCTGTCTCAGTTTGCATGGTCAAGTCTCTAGCCTCTTGCTTTGACAGTGATGATCAATCTATAGAATTATTTAGCAAGAAGCCTTCTAGGGTTGGCATGTATGAATCTGTAGCCATCTCATCCATGCCCTTTTGCTAACACCCTTATGCTTAGACTTCGTGATCTTATCTGCTAAGATATAGTGGTAAGACTTAGCTCGGATGTGAAATGATTCTGTGATTACATTGTCTAGGGTCTCATCTTTAAACTTGCCAATAGTTACATCCCATTAAGGGTAAAGATGTCTGGTCGCTCAGCCATATCTTTATAGATATCTTCGGTCTCAACTATAAATATAAAGGAATTAGTATCCATATATCTAAGTCTAGCCTTATCCCCATATTTCTTTTTACATAATCATACCAGAAGCAATACATTAAAAGTTTACTAAGACCTAGAACTAATGCTCCAACAATGATTGGTTTATTGAGAACTACACTAGCTTTTCCTATATGTGCACCTATTAGTGTATCTCCAAGTGGTCTGCCATATTTGAAATTTGGGCTTTTGATTTTCTTGGGAAACTTTTTCTCATCTGACTCATTATTATAGGCCATAATCTTAACATCCTCCTACTTTCTAACATTTTTCATAGTCTTACCATATACCAAATTATTCATGAGCTTGAAGAAGTTTTTTTCAAATGCATTCTTAGCTTTTTGGTGTAATTTAGTATTTTTTGCAATATATGAAGCCAACCAGTTTATCTGATTAAATGATAAGATCTCTGTGATCTCATTTACAATCATGTCCAACTTTATATAATACTGGAACTCTTGATAATGAATGACATAATTTTTTCCTGGACCAAGATGGGGGACTAATTTTTCTGTTGCATAGAATCGTCTACCATCTATATCATTCACAAGATTAGCATTGTATGGGCATAGCATATCCTTTTTTACTGCGACATTTTCCACAGCTGGAAATAAGTCACTCAAATGGTTGTAAGTCTTTAGGGGAAATGGTAATTAATCATTAAGTAGAATCTGCGTGATGCATCTGCTCCAGTCTTGAGAATCATTTCGAGATATTTCTTTTACATCTTGGGATTATTCTTTAGATATTCTTGAATAGCAACCCACTTATAATATCCAATTAGGAGAAATTGGCTCATAGCCCAACCATAAAGATTATTCGCATCGACATATGAGATCTATGTTATTGGTTGAGATATATCAAATGCGTCTCCCATATTAGGATTATTTGCCTTGAAATGTCTATGTACTGCAATAACAATACCACCACGCTTTGCTTTTTCAATGAAGTAATGCATTGTCATTTCTGTAAATAGCTCGATCTTAACCTTGGTCATCTTAAATATAGCATCCCAGGATAAAGAAGATACGGATACATAATGACTGGAATCAAGGCCATAATGATGCATTAATGTCTTTCTAAATGTTGTCCAGACATCTGCTAGACTAAGCACGTCTATTTTGA